TGTAGCAAAGTGTGTCTAAGATTTCATAGGCTTGGCAGGAAGCCTCAGGCTGTGTGCCGCGCCACGTGTCAGCATGCACAATCCTCACGTGACAACCCAGCCCTGTACAACATGCCAGTGAAATGCTGGGCTCGAGGGTATTACTGAGACGCTGATTGTAGTCCGGTTGGAAAACACAAGGTGCCGCTGGTTCCGAGAATGCCACTGCAAGTCCCCAGTTAGCATCTAGAAAGAACACATTACAAGCGTCTCCGGCACTGGGAAAATTTGCAAGCAAAATAACCATGGTAGAGAAACACAAGGCGAAATACCGGGCCCATTCACCTCATGCCACTTGGTGGCACAGTGATGCCCAAACTCCTGATGGCTTGCGATCACTATTCTACCAATCCATGCGAAATGTTCGCTTGCATGCCTTGGTCCAAAATCAAGAGTTTTCTTGAGTTTGGTTCAAGGATTATTCGAGAAACATGCTGCAGGATGCAACCTGCGGATGCCGTGAAACTTGAACGAGGTCTTAGATGATCACGAAAGGCGAATATATTCGACGACTTTTTGCACCGCTTTTCGGTGCATGCTACTCTACATGCCTGCACTAGGGCATGGCCCTGAATATGGTACATCCATGTACATCACGCCGGTGACATAATCCGACCAGAAAGGAAGCTGACATCAGCTCTGGACGAGCTGTGTCTGCTGCAAGCCTGACTCTCATCTCGGAGTTTGTACCGGCGTCTGCTTGATGTAAGTGAAAACTGTCTCCCTGTCGAAGGACACGGTCTTCTCGTGAGGCTTTGCGGCCTGGTTTGACTCAACGCGGGCACCACAAGAATGACGCACGAATGCTTTCCGAAGCTCCGAAGGAACAAAACCCACTCTGAGTTCTGCACGGACTTCTTCGTACCAGAACGATCATTCTCGTCACCGCTACCACCATCTGTCAAACTTTGTAGAGGGGCTCGAGCAGCCTCGATATTGAATGGAATGTAGCTGTCTTCAGCTTCAAATCCTTAAGCGTCTGTTTCGAGGCAAGAGGCGGTGTCTTGGCCTTCTGAATGATATTTACGCGCAGCTGCAGCAGAAACCTGGGCAGTCTCTTCACGACAGAGCGGGTCACAAGTTAACCGACAATGCAACACAAAACGCTTCGAGTCCACATGTCAGTCCAGTTTAGTGTGCAAGGAGTGGAAGAAACTATCCGAAAAATTCCAGGTCCCTCCCCGCCTTTCGTGCTGGGAGACCCTCAATTGCCACGGCACAATGCGTCATGTTGTCATGTTACACACCAGGGCAGAGCGTGTGTGTGTATATATATATATACATAATGAGCACGAGCAGTCGCTCCTTTCAACTGTTTGGCGCGGGAAGCAGGGGCAAGGGTAGGGGGCCGTCCAACCAAGAATTCCGGGTGTTCACTTTAGTTCACCCTACATGTCTCATTTTCGTGATGCACCATTCTTTCGTGTCTGGCGCAGCAGGGCAAAATCTTCACTTCACCCCTTACGGATCACCTGATTTTCTTGTTTGTGCCATTCTTTGTGTCTGGCATACCTGATACCATAGTGTTCATCTCGTCTCCTTTGCCATCATCATCCTCGCTATCACTGCTTCTCGTAGCACGAGTTCAGTCACCATGATGATCACCCCACCCCACCTCACCCCACCCCACCTAACCCCACCCCACCATCACCCCACCATCACCCCACCATCGCCCCACCGCCCCACCCACCCCACCCCACCCACCACCCCAACCACCCTCCCGGCACCCGAGGTTTTGGCTCTGGGTGGTTCTAACTTGTCGTCCGGGAGGGTACACTGTTTGTCCCTGTATGATCCATTATGTGGGCCCGACATCGTAACTGTATTATCTTGCTTCATGCCCACCCGAAGCGATGAACAAACAAGCGGCTTTTCAACCTCATGCGGCATCCATAGGAATGAAGTCAGGAAAGATTTTCGGGACGGACGCTAACCCGAAGCAGCTGTGCTCAAAGTTGTTGACCTTTAATTATCTGCAGGCATGGTACTCGTCCTCGCTCATCCCCAGATGGGTTGCGAGACATCGTTCTACTCTGACTCTGGAAAGGTGTGACCTGTCAGGACATCACCAGATGGTATGGACAGCTTGCTACAACAACTCCCAAGCTATCCGGCAACTTCGCTGATCAGAAAAGTCCTACTCTGTCACGGTGGCAATCACCCATCTGGCCAATTCATCCGAGAAACCATTTGGACCACAGTGCTCTCGGGCGCTTCCTCAATCGCTGGCATCCCCAAATGCTGCGGATAGAGCGCCCCAGGAAGGGCCAGAATGCTCTCCTAAGCACATGAGGCACGATAAAATTGACTTCAATCTCTAGAATCCAACACTCATCAACACAAAATCATAGCAAGCTGCCGATTCCGCCAGCTTGGGCTGGCCTGCGCCGTCATCAGGCCTGTTGGGAATCACGCAAGAGCAACTCAGAGTCACTTCTTGCTACGAGGAATAACCTGGCAACAGACAGGACGACCACGGCCCATTCAGTCGGCCACGCTGATGCGCTGTACTGCCGGCCTGGTGTCCCAAGCTTCGAGATGCTTTCCTTCAGCATCTTCGGCTCTGGTCTCCGGCAATGGCTTCTGCTCCATGGACAAGGCTTGACCTCGCAAGCAACGGCCACCAAGCAGTCCATCGAGAATGGAGTTGCACTTCATGACAAGACACGCATTCGCGAGCAATGCTGGCCAAATAGATCAAATAATATGACCTGGTACATACAGACCACGAAGGTGAAGCCGCAAACAGCCTGGGCCGTTACCGAAGACCCGTGCTGCACTAAAGGAAACACGAGTCTGCAACAGCGAATGGGTATCTAAGTGAAGCGCTCCAAGTTTGATGAATAGAAACATGCGCTCATCTTCCTCGCGTGGGGGTGCCCTCAGTGAAAAGCACGCTGTTACTGCACAGCGTGAGTGTTGTCATCTTTCACTCTGAACCGTGGCAAAACCCGTAAGGCTGCAGCTGCAAGAATGCTGGGACGTCGATGAAAAGAAACCAGATCATCAATGGGTAGATGGTAACGTCGAAAACTATACACGCACTGAGAAGAAGGCAATGTCTGCCTAAGGGTCGACGAGCCGTCTGTCTCAATGACCAACACAGCCAAACTTATGGACACTAAGAAACACAGCTCAGTCAAGCGACGGACTGTCCCAGGTTTAGCAAACAAGTTGTCCACATCTTCTTGCCGCACCATAGCTTTTTCAAAATCGAAGGATCATGCTTTTTTTTGAGCCGGCGTGCCTGATTATGCGGTGGAGATGTCGAAAGAAGTGAACTCTATTTGGCTGAGAATGCTTGGTGTAAGGCTTCAATGCAACAGCTACTGGCACTCAGGAAGTGAACCGCAGCAAAAGCATGGCCATGCATCAGCTGAGATGATCACGAAATGCCTTCAGCGAGGCCCTACCTGATCAGGACTGCTGATGGGGGCCAGTCCTACACTTTGCGGAAAGTGCTCTGCCAGAAGCTAAAGGGGCCCTTTTCAAAGGTGCGGCCTGCCTGCTGCACGATTACCAGTGGTGTCAATGTGATCAGTTTGAATGACCCTAGAGGGATTGAAACGATTGAGCTTCACAAAGTAGCCCTTGCTTGCGCCGCAATCTTAGGATGAAGCAATGCTGCTCTGCACCTAAGCAGCGGACTGTGTCTGTTGCACCTGCTGGTTTGGAGTCGACCAAGCCTCGACCAGATCTCTCATCGCTCGGAGCTTACAAAGTGCCAGCTTTGTGGGCTGAAGAGACAAGGTTGAGTTCGGGACCATATTGCTCATCTGTGGCCTCAGCTTTCGGTGCAGCGACAACTGCTGAGAGCAAGACTACACAGTCTGGGAATTCTGCGCATACGCTGCAGCTGTCACTGGCATCGGCCTTCTGCAGTGGCAGACATTGAGGGGTAGCGACATGCGAACATGATAAAGACCGTTTCCTAGGCAATAAAACCAAGCAAGCGGGTTCACTAACTCGGGTGGTTTTGCTGCTGTTTGCAGCTTGTGCTCTCAGAAGCAACAGCAGACTCTGCAAACCGTCATGTTCATGCAGATGCGAAAAGTGTCGAATCCCTCGCGCAGGCCATGTTTAGCAAGCATATGTGAAGTTTGGACTGTGTAGTCTTAGACCTTGGCCCGCAGACTATCATGGTATGAGCAAGATGCCGCCGCAGAATCACGCTGCGCGATTCTGCGCATCGTTTTCGGTGCCTCTTGTTGTTTTTTTGTTTGGGGAAGGGGGGTGGGTGGGGGGGGTCAGCCATGGGCCGAGGCCAGGTGGCAGAGGACGTCCAGCAAGACGAAGCACCAGAATGAGCACAACGCCACAGCGACATATGCCCCGTCAGCCAGCATGCTTAATAATTTAGAGAGCTACCCATATACTAGGGTTTGGGGTATATGGTTTAGTGATTTCGGGTTTAGGGCTATATACTAGGGTACAAGTAGGGCTATGACGAAAACAAGCCCACATAGGTACAAACAAGCTGTACTTGGAACCTAGTCAGCAAGCGCATGATCCTCTCAGCAACCTTTGTTCACCTATGAAACACAAATCACCGAACGGTGCATATCCATCAAAACCACTGTACTCTTAAGTTTTCTTGGGCCGTCCGGCATGAGCAAACCGAAGCAGCTCGAGAATTTTTCAGGGTGGCCCCTGAGTTGCAAGTTGCTGGAAATGCGTGCATTCTGTGTCTCCTCTTCTTCCAGGCTGTTCTAAGTAGGGAATGGGGGAATGGATCCCAATGAAAGTCCCTTAAGGTCCCCTATAGTAGTCCCAAAAAACCCATTCCTCCATTCCCTACTAAGAACCCAATACCCCCTTAACTAAGGAATATTACCTTAAGTCATAATATTCTCTGTTGAATATGATCCCGTGCTACCCAGCGACAAACAAACCTGAAGACTGAATGCTGAACCTGGAAAAGCCTGAAAATACACCTTCGGAACCTTGCCTGACTCTCAACATCAACGAAGCAAACCCTGTAAATACCGACAAAAACCACCCCAGTTAGTGAACCCGCTGGGAAAACCAAGGACGGCACGTCTGCGGTACCTCGAAACGAAAGCGGAAGCCATACAAAAGCAGTGCACAGAAAGGTCCCCCAACTGCGACATAGAAATGCTCGAGGTCGCAGCTCCCCATGGAGCCCATGCTGCATTGTAGAAAGGCTGTTGTACTGGAGGTGACCTTCTGGGTGGAGTTTTAGCAGCCATATGCGCACTGCTCCTATGGTACATTCTGGAATCCAGGTAAGATTCGCACATACCATCGTGGCAAGGCCTGTGTTTCGGAGCAACCAGTGCGAAGCAAGCGGGCGAAGTGGCGGGAGGGAGCTGAGTTCAGTGCACTCCAGGAACAGGTGAGACGGCCATTTGCATCTGCAGAGGCTGCGCTTGTTGACTAGACCTGGAAAGCAGCAAAGCGGGCTGCCCTTGATGTAATTCCCTGCTGTATCTTTTTTCTGAAGTATCTCAAGGACAGGCGGCATAAAATTTGTCGGCCCATGTTGCGGTAGGGGCCTTGTCTTGCAGAGACAGGCGCACCGACTCTACGCTTCGCCCGCGAAAGCTGAGAAATCGCCGCGTGCACACCTCTAAGCCACCGGCATAACCATTCCAGTCGGAGCACGGACTCCAGGTGCAGCCTTTATCTCTCCGAATTTTCCGAAAGAATCTCAGCACATGGTCTCCATAATGAATGATTATGGAGGCTGTTCCTCAATAAGCGCCATTGGGAGCGTTGCAACTGGAACACCAGCAACGGCTGGTATCACTGGCTGAACTTGTGGAGGTGGCCTCACCATTCGCATGCTCATGAATGAACAACTGGGCAAGCACGACCGCGTCAAATGGCTGTGAACAAAGGCAGCGCAACTGTGGAGGGCAAATTGCGGATGTGGCTTCCTTCAAGCCTCTTGTGTCTATATGTTCTACCTGAACGCTGCAAAGGATGCATTCAACGCTGGAGACCGCGAGTCCAGTACTGCGATAAATCGAAAAATCCTGAAGTTTCAATCGAGAATTGAGGTGCGTAGTATCTGGTGCTGACACATGAGGATTTGGAGAACTGCTCCTTGAGCTCTCCGAGGCTGCTGCGTCATCGACTGTGGATGCTCGCCTCCCATGGTCGGCCACGGGGATGGTGATGGCGACGCTTGCGCCTACGACAGGAAACATTTCGCTGTCGTGGCCACCACATACTGTTGCAAGCCGAGAGGCAACCATCATTCCGGGTGACGGCATCATGATGCCCGGCCTATGTCATGTCTATCCGAATGTCTTTTTCCTACACACTCCACGTCCCAGTTTTCCTATCTCAATGTTGGGCTGGCCACATTGGCTGCGCAATGCTTGCAAAACTTTGCCCGGCGACTGATGTGGTGACGCTGCCTGGAAGCACCGTAGACATCAGCATGCTATTGTGTGGTTTGACATGTCATCGTCAATGGGCACACCAATCCTCCAAATCCTTCAGGCCGTGCCGCAGGCTGTGGACCATTGCAAGCTCCCTTGCAGCGCTGTCAAGTTGAAAACACCAGCTTAACAAAACCTTCAACAGCAGAGTGAAGACAGTGTGTTAAGTCGCAGACACATCTCTGGGAGTTCTTGCCGGGCACAGACATACCAGCAGATTCTGCCGTGTGCATTCCACGTCCTTCATTCATGCCGCTGGACGCATGGCTACGAAATCATAGTGCAAATTTCGCGTGTCCTTTTGAAGACTCTTCTGACCGCCTGCATGCATCAAAAGCGGTGTTACCTATGCTGCTTCTCACTTCAACTGTCTTTGGCAACTCATTTCAATTTCCAGTGCAAGAGGAGAAAACACTCGCATTGCTCTGCATGAAGCTCTTCATCTGTAAACAAACAGAACCGCGACAAGACAAATGAAGGCGAACACTTCTTCGAAAGACTCGACCACCATTACCACTGCCACGACGGTGGCGGTGGCTTGTGACGCTGCTGCTGTTGTTCTTCCAAAGCGTGATGCAACTGCTGCTTCTGCTGCCTCCGCTTCTGCTGCGTATGTCATCACCTTACCACTCTGCCGGCGGGTTCAAGCCAGGTTCGTTGCAGTGATTTGGTCGATTCCTACTGCTGTATGGTACGGACGCTATAGCATCTTCTGGGGGCACTAACCGCCGTTTACGGTTATCCCCTCATGATTCGGAATCTTAGCAATCAGACATTTACTCCTACTTGAAGAACAGACCAAGGATATTTTTGTATACAGGATTTCAAGAACACTTGAACTCCAAGATGCGCAGCAATTGAGAGCATTTCGGAGGCAGAAACGTTCTTCACTGTATCTACAGCATTGAACAACACAAAGTATGGCAACTTTCGGTGGGCATCATAAAAGCCACGCGGCGGGAGCATTCGCAAACCATGCAAGGCCACCAGAAACAACACTACTGCTGTGAATTGCACGGTGGCTTGCCAGCTGAAACCCCAATTTACTTTGGTGAAGCGGGCGATCGAGGAGCGCATGTGCGTTGTCTGCAACCCTATGGTATACTCGTACACATCACGTTTCATGTCGTCGTCTTGCTGCGATCCCTTTGACGGTCGAAATGTATCAAGTAATATCAATGCCGACGACGAAGTGAGAATCGTGTAAAGCAGCGACAATGACGAGGCTCGTGGCCAAGGCGCGCCCAATCCCAGTGACAGCTGGCTGTTTTCACGGGGGACTTGCTTTCGCAAATGTTCTGTGGGACGTGGGCTAATTCTTGTTTGCTGTGTGCGCCCCCCCCGACGCGCGCAGTCATTGACTGACACACGCCTGGCTCTGCAGATGCCGGTGGAGGATGCTCCGCGAGCGCAGACGGCACATAGCCAAAATCCAAGCGCGCCCCCCCCTGCAGTATCTATATCCAGCCTTGCAAGTCAATTTTACAGGATACGTGGTCTATGAAATGCCCTGGCCGGCCAGACACCGGACCATCATCTTGCCGGGTAAAATGGCAGGGGCTATGTCGAATTGGGGTGAAACAGCCAAACCATCCACCTCATCCACTACAAAACGGCAACACAGTACTTCGCTGAAGCCACAAGATCCAGTAACATGCCCAACCTGGTTTCGGCACCCTTCGGCCCTGCATCATGCACTGGAAATTCATCGGCATGACACCATCGGTGATGACGCGTCTTCTCAAAACCACATGGCGTGGCAACGCTCAAGCTGCTTGCACGGCATCCTAGTCAATAAAACATCAAATCCTTGAACACCTCGCATAATCTGTCATGAGCAGCGACACATCCTTGGCAAAATGGCCGGTTCCACAAATCCTCCGCCAACCACAGGCCACTCATATCTATATGACCACAGAATGCGCGAAGTTCTTTTCAGATGCTAAATGGCTTGGTTGGACATCCACACAGCCCGTCTGTGCAGAACAAGGGCTCGCCATTTCACAAGGGAATATTCAAAGTCATAGCGGGCCCGGCGTGTGCATCGTTGCAAAAAAAAAGCGCGGAAAGCTTTTCTAGCTGGATGTTCGGTTTTTTGGTTGCTCACCCACTCTGGCTTGGCAGACGACGGCGGAAGAGGTGCCACGGACAGTGGACCCGCCACGCAGCAAAAGCGAAACGTAAAAAACGGCGGACACAGCAACAAAATCTGCATTGTTCCAAAAGACGGGCAAGCACAAGCCTGAGCCGCAAGTAGCAAAAGCCCTAATTGCAGTGGCAGCTTCACACACACACACGCACTTGGCACGGATGACTGCGACGAGCCACTGACAGGACCAAACGACGACAGATTGCGGCAACCATACAAAATGGCAGAGAAGCTTCACTTTCGACTCACACACTCGCCAAGCAGGCATGGCGGGTACGTCTCGAGCTTCACTTTAGGGTTGGTTACTCCAGTGCCACAAAGGGGGCCATTGGCGAAACCGAAAGCAGGTACGTCTGGCTGATCAGNNAGGCCAGATATCACCACGCACTGACAATGTCTTCGTTGGGCAACTGTCAGGCACGCACTGCCCCCCTGCAGCAAAATGGTTCTCTCATTCAAAGGTCGCCATGTCCAGGCATGTACACACACACTCACATGCCCTGAAAACAGGGCTGCAGCAACGTGGCGGTTCGATTCAACAAGTCAGGTGTCCGTGTGCGTATTCGCGTGTTTTCTCGGGGACACCTGGCCTTCTCAGCTTGTTAAGGTGGTTTCAATTCATGTCGAATGCAAAAACTTATTAGGGGTCTGTGATGGTGTGTGGCCCAAAAATGCAAAAAGAGCTGAGGGTAACGGGTGTTTTGCAGCATCCATGTCTGTTGATTGCACTTAGGTTGTCAATTGGGATGGATATGATGGGACTACTGGACTACAGGGAGGTGAGGTACAAAGAATACACGAGAGCATTAAAAACGGGAAAATCCACATCAAATGGTCTATGGGAAGCCATGCTTCACCACATTGTCGTTGAGATCAACTGTTGGAGATCGGCCGAAGCCATGAACACATTGCTAGACATTCTTCGTAATGAAACGTAGTGGCAACTTGAGCTTGTGCATATGCTTTTTATGCCCAGCCAACGAGCATCTGCGTCGAGTCTCACCGGCTCCTGGAGAGATCAAATGCTTTGGTTCGCCGCAATCCAGCTCAAGTACGAATATCTGATTGAATACACCCAACACTGTTGATCCCAAGGGGGCTGTACATTTACGGTACATTTCGGGGTTTCTTCGCGCACGAGACTCGCACAATCGCAGGTCGTAATCAGTCCCTACGCATCATGAGCAAAATAACAAAGGGAGCACAAGCAAACCACATCAGTGAGTCGCACAATCACTACCCAGATATTCGAGAGATTGCTGTCTTGCAATTGACAGGCAACCGCTCGGATTGCTTAATCCGCCAGCCAGCATGCCCCCGCTGAGCCAGCTAGCAAATCTGGGATAGCGCGTTAAACCCAGCGAATGCAGAGAAGGACCTTGAAACAAGACAGCATGCGCAATCAGTCATCATGTGCAGGCACGCGCAGACCCACATGCCATGTAGCGGGAACGGCTGCATTCAGGACCTTTTGACAGAAAGGCCAGTGAAAGGCCAGAGATGTTGTTGGGAAGTCATCGAATGGCACTCTTCGAGCAGGCAGGCGGGCTGCCCTCATTGTCTGCAGTGAAAGGTCTGTTTCACGAGCTTTGGTTCTGATCCTTGAGCGTGTCACCTCGAACCACTGCCACCACCATGTGATGCTGCCATCGGAATTCTCCGTGGAGCGCCATGTCCAGCGCCAGAAGGCTGGCTTAGGCGGGGGTGTTAGGCTGCGGTCTCTCTCTGCCATTTTGTAAACGACGGAGAAATCAAGGAAACGGCTGCAGATGAATGCATTGCAACAAAGACATGGCGATGCAGTGACAGCTGCAGTGGCACACTTTATCCAGCGAGTCACTGAGTTGAAGGCTTCGCTCAAGATGGATAGGTGCGCTGAAAGGACGAGCCTTCATAAATTGAAGGAGTTCAATGTCCATGTAGATCTTTTCGATCAAAGGTGATTTGTGCCAGTCGGCACCAGAAGTGTTAACGCTGATGTTCCGCTGCGCAAGAGCCAACATCGGTTTGACCCAAATCTGGGCGATGCTGCCCAAACGAACAGTAGCTGCAAGGTCATGATGGTGACAATGCAAAATCACCGTCCATGAGTACCTAGCTTCGACGGTCCGGAGTTGGGGAGCAAAGCCCTTCCTGTTGCTGAATTCTTCAAGAGCTTGTTCGGTAAGTTGTGTGGCAATATCCCAATCCGAGGGTCCAAATCGGACGGCCGATGTTGTCCAATCAGTCACACTCAAGTGCAGCTGGAGGCGGGTGAGGTAGCTGCCCACCTTTTCCATGACATCATGAGGCAAAGCTGGCATCTGTTCAGTTTAATGAACAGCACAATCACAAATGCTACGCTGGAGCCAGTTTGCCTGAAGTGAGAACAAGCCAATCACAGAAAGAAAAAGCAGCTTGACAGATGCGCTGGCGGCTTCTTTTACCAGCAGCATGACTGCAGGATGTATCCGAAGAAAAACCAATAAACTCAAATGAGCTGGAGCGGGGAGGCGATATTCTCTCATGTGCTGAAGAAGCCCGATGTCCATGTAGATGCGGTCGAGACCGGCGGACTTGTGCCAATTGAACTTCTTATCCACGCGACCACTGAGCTTTGCGACGTCCCTGGTGGATCATCAGTGAACAGTGAACACAGTGTCCAAGTCCAGGCCGTGTCGACTTCCCGCGTAATTTTCCAGGCCTGCTGGAATTGAGCAGCAGAAATGCTGGTGAGAAAAAAAAGCTGATTGCGTTTCATCGGTGTTTTCTTGAAGGAACTTGCGTACTCAGGTCCACAACTCGTACACGTCAGCCTTGGCAACAGGCCAAGGGAAAGCATGGCGCAAAGACCGTATAGCGGACGGGCAGTGGCTTCCAGCAGCGGTCGCATGAAAGCCTCCACGAAGGACACAATAGGTCTTCCCGATTGGAAGTCCTTTTTCCCCTTGGGGAGTGCGTATGCAGTAGGAAGTTTGGAGTGACGGCGAAAAGCCCAAGAGTACCGTCTTTGCAAGGCACGTTTGGCTGCTGTTTGAACGTCGTGGACTTGGCGTTCAAACGCATCGTCCACGGAGTGGCTGGTTCCCGAAGATTCCAGAAAGC